ACTATTATTTGATTAATTCAATTTTATACAATCAATTATATTTGTTAAAATAAAGAACAATCATAGATATCCAAAAGATAAAAAAATTTTTAAAATTGAAAGAAAATTCAAATTGTACTTCTATCGATTATGTTGATTTCTGACAAATTATACAAAATCTTGTATAATTATTTTATTGTAAGACCATTTTCTTAGAAAGAACACGCGAATGTTACGTATTATTTCGTAATATTACGAAAAAATTATAAATTATAACGCGAGAATATAAGGATCTACACACCGATACGTATTAAAAGCCAACTAAATTACTGTATTTCTGTAGGCGAATATATAAACATACATATCTTTATATAAATTTCGAAAGTTAACAAGATACAAACAAGATATCGTAAAACTATTCAACTGTTAAGTTTAAGTCAATTTTAATTATCAAATAAATATTAAAACGTTATTTTTGCTTTTATTTCAAATTGATTAGACTTAAACGTATATTGTTAATAATATACAATTTATTTTATTCAAAACCAATATCCTCCATTTCTAGATTTTTATTAATTCGAATTTATCAATATTGAAAATGATATCAAACAATTTTCATTTCACATCTGATCAAACTTAGTATCTTACCTATCTTATAATTCTCTTCAATATCTACATGCGATGAATCTTGAATCAACGAAGATAATTATGAAGCTTGCGAACATGAAAACAGTAATAATAAATACTAATCATAAAGAAGAATTCTTACTGTATAGGAACATTGTGCTTACATCTGTCTAACCTTTTAAAATCATTTTCTTGAAATCTGTGTTTAAATTTAAAATATTGTTAAAGATGTAAGCGTTATATTACGCTTTTGGAATTATTGACTCAATATAGTATATATTGCCCTTCCAAAATACCTGATAATACTGCGAAGCAGGACAATCGAGATTATTTTCTGAGACATTTTATCAGAATTTATTATTTCGTGTAAACGTTTATAATAATTATAATTTACAATTACGACGTGATTGATGATAAATACAAATAGAACAACATAACTTGGGACAAGGGAACTAGGAAAATTCAGCGGATGAATATTTGAGATTGCAATGGCTAGCTTTTCCCACGAATAGAGAAAAAAGAGAAAAGAAAGATAGAGGGATGGAAAAAAGGGAAGAAACAGAGTCAAAGAGAAAAAGAGAAGCGGAGAGGAAAGAGGGAGGAGGGAGGAGGGAGAGGAGAGGAGAGGAGAGAGAGAGAGAGAGAGAGAGAGAGAGAGAGAGAGAGAGAGAGAGAGAGAGAGAGAGAGAACAATTTTAGGAATTGAAATATATAAAGATTAAAGCGAAGAATAATATTTCACCGTTTGTTATCTTATTTGTGACACGGTGATAAATATTTCAATAATCAAATTACAAATCTAAATTTTTGCGATGATCGGATAAAAAATAAATAGAAAGATTAATAAAGAAATTGAGCGCAGGAAGAGACCAAATAAGAAAATCATACAACTTATACATCATTCCTTTGTAACCTCTTTTTATCTATAAAGTAAATTTACGACAGCGTTATAAAGAAAGAAAAAAAAAAAAAAAATATGATACACTCGAAAAAAAATCATAAATATATAAGGAATTAAAGAAAATTAAATCGATTATTATTAATGTTGCATATAGTAATAAGAATATGGGAACATATTTTGAAACGACAATTGTTTAGGAGTTCCAAAAGGATCAAGAAAAGGAAGAAAAAGAAAATTAAATTATTAAAAACATGCTACGCGAGAACAAGACTAGTGTTGAAAAATAATACGATTGCCCCAAAATGAATAATGGCAATTTTGAATATCTACTCGAACTCGCCCAGCTGGTCCATTTCTAATTGGATTTAAAATCTAAAATCCGTGAAAACCTTTCCGTATAATTTTAACATATCATTCTTATTTTTCAATCTCTCTCTTGCATCAGCCACTAACACTTGCGTAAAATAATAGGAAAAACATGTTCTTCGTTT